GTACCCTTTTCTGTGCCCCTCTTAAAATTTAGCTTCGAAGATCTGAACAGAAGACGCAGCCCCTTGTTATCGTTTGCCGTACGCTTTCCCCTTTTCCTTATGGAGTAGCTAAACTATTCTCGTTGAAGATCATGTCAGCGAAGCCAATCAAAAGCGGACGCTGTCATATCCCTTCCTATGTTTAAACACAGCCTAACACCAGTGTTTTCCTGGATACATATGAGTAATGTTTGAGCTATTTTGCACGCATTTCTCTTTACGCTATGATTCCATACGCGAATTATTGAACCTGAATCCCAGCGCTGGATAACGCTATTGACTGGAATTCAGTAGAACTAGCCTACAAAGTGATTCTCTTGTGGTTTCATCGGAAACACACGATTTCCCCTTCTTAGTTAGTTCCCTCCCGTAATAATCTATCACCAAATCCAACGAATAACATTCACGCATTGTCGCGAATGTCTGATGTTGAAGGCTGATAGCTCCGCGCAGATGAGCAGCTACAAGACCAAATAGAAGCAACCATCAGGTTTTTAAAAAGAAAGCCAGGGACAATATGAACGCGACAGAAAGAAAGATAGAAAGTAAGAACGTTACGCATAGGCACCTCATCGCGATTACAGAGCGATATTTATTGAATATGATGGTGTAGTGGTTGTCTATGTACATGCGATCACACTGCGAGACTGGGATATGCTAGACTGTTCGAGACGAATCAGTTCCGCGTTGACTCCCTCTGTCTTATCTGATTGATGTTTCTTGCTGACATATTGAGAACGATCGTCCGGAAAATGGCGCTGGCCAGGGTAGGGTTCGTACACTTCGACGAAACGCTAGGAAAGTCCTGTAGAATCCCGACGCAGGCGAAACCGCACTCGATTTATGTCGTAGCCTACAGACGCGAATGTTCGTTCGGTAGAACCTTTCAAGCCATTTGAACTCTTAATGTCACTAACATCCTTCACAGTCTAAATGAGAAAGCCGTTGTAGCCGCTGAAGATGCTCTATAAGGGAACGAGCATGATTGCTATGCATCGAAGAAGCACATTACTACAGGATGAAGCTTATTAGATATCTTTACTTTAGAGTACAAGGTAGCTAATTACATTATATCTGTAAGAATAGGTCGAAACTCACCTTCGTTTAAGTTGTATTCTTAATTTGTTTTTAATTCGCATAAACCTGTTACCTATACCCTATATATATATATGAAACGTTTTTTTTTAGGATAATCCTCAGGTTTGTTGGAATAGTTATATTCACGTCTACTTTTTGTCAGCGACAATATTCACTGCTTACACAACTCCATATTGGAAATGCAGCCAGAAGCGATTTTTAACTAGTCGTCGTAAGATTCAGGTGAGCTAACACATTATATAGCCAGACAACAAAAAATTGATCCTTTTCTTTCTTGTACCTCTTTGTTGACTCACGTACTTTAATAGATATGTAGCCGCGCTGTTCGGCCCATTTGTGAGTTAACCATTTCCTGTCGTAGGTTCTCTGTCGGCATTCGCCGTTACGGCCTCTCCGTTCTGTAGTGAATACTGTTGCCACCAATATGCGAGTGTGCCGTTCCTATACCGAGGCTGGTCGTCTAAAGTCGCACATTAAATCTGCAACTATCGCACAAACCACGTCTGTACCAAATTTTCCGTCGGCCCATGCCACCGGTTGTTAGTGTCAAACTACCAGAGACGGGTTTTTTCGGTAGCGGTCAAACGCCGGTGGAGGCAGCGCCGGTGTCTGATAACAAAAGACGTGTATCTAAAAGTCAGGCCGCAAACGAAGCGCAAAACAGGTACGAGCGGACAGAGCTTGAGCGGGCCTACAATTGCATGTGGCAGCCACCGTGTCCGTTCAAGGGCTGTTTGGTTGAGGTAGAGCAGCATGGCAGAGTGACGAGCAAGATGAACAGAGGGGCAAGTGGACCACCGCCAATGGATCAGCGAACTTCATTCTAGCACCATTTAAGTTATCCCTAAGTCGATCTGTCCATCGTTCTGTACGCTCGCACGTCTCGTTGACGACTGCCGGTTTTGTGGACGACGAATCCCCGTTGAAGGTGTCGTTATCGTCGATATTGTTGCTCGACTTTCGTTGCGCGTATAGCGACAGCTACCGACGCGTTACACATACGGAGCGATGTCAGTCGCGGCTAACTGAAGACAACAACAAGTCGGACTGAGCCACATTAACGGTCTTGGCAGAAGCAGTAGTACCATCAGTAACATCAACGAATCAATTGCCAAAAGAATACAACAGTCATCTACTGTCTTTTTTAATAATAGTAACACAATGTACTACTAGTCATCATATTTCTCGTTCGATTGTTCTGTGGACCGTTTTCGTCACTTTCTTCCTAGCTGATCTGCATGTTCGCTTGCTAGCTCAGGCTACCGCTCAGTGAGAGCAAGTCACCTTTATCGCCAGCACCGTTGGCGTCACAACCGTACACGAACGTCCGCCACTTACGTCCCGTCACTGGCGGCTGGCTTGTTCCGCCAACTGCTGTCGTTACCGTTGTTGTTGTTATTGAGACGGCACCTCATCGACGGTCGGATGATGTCTGGTCACGATCGGCATTGACATGTTGCGGACAATTTGGCCGGCTTCACCACTTCGCTGGTAGAAATAGTAACGGTAGCAGTCGGTGTCTTCTTCTTTTGTGAAAAAGTAGTATACGGTCTACTAGGAGCACCGCAGTCTTGTAGCCGCCGGCGACCGGGCGCTGACGGATTTAATAGCTGGAATCGTTGCCAGAGTAATTGGAATGGTTTTTGTCTTCATTATGGAAATAGAAGTAAAAGTAGTTTGAGAAGTGGGACCGGCATCGATCTGTACGTTTCATGTGACGTTAGCGGTATGATTAGTTGGCATTTGAAACGGTATTGATTGGCTACTACATTCTCTTAATGCTATGGCTGCGGCGATCTTTCTTTTAGAACCGATCGATTTGCCTACCTGTCCATTTGTTGAGCTATTGGTTAATGGCAACCGCTTTTGTATCGCCGTGTCTGTTCGTATCTGTCTTCGAATAAAAGTAGCCAATTACTCCCCCTGTTGTAGAAAACAAAGCAATGGAGTTAATATGTGGAGGCAAAAAAAAAAGGAGACTTTTCTGTAGTGCTCAACGCTACAGAATTGATTCATAGCTAGCTAAAACTTAGTAATTCTTATTTTTTTACATAATTGCAGATTTATATAGGCGCGGATAAAGTGTTCCCGTGGAAAAAAGCTAAATTAATTTTCGCTGCGTAGCCTCTTTGAATCGTTTTGGTGCACTCAAACCAAACTGTGGCAATATGTACTCTCAATGCACGCATCTCAAAAGTTAAGTAAAACTGCTATCAGCGTATCGCAGTGGGCTACGAAAGGAATGAAAAGACGGGGTTGTAGTAACACCCTCCCTAAAATACAAGCCAAGTCCACTAGTACATTTCCAGTGGGGCAACTAGTTCTGCTTTTTATGCTTCATGTATGACATCAATTCTAGTTGACTCTTGCAACAGGAACGTCTCATCTTAATATACGTGCGGTCATATGGAGCGACGTACGTGGAGATAGACGATTCTATGGCCTATTGTATGTTGCAACTATTACACTTGCAACCATCCTAAAAAAAAAGTGGATGTACGCTCTGATTCACCGATGGCGACCAATTGATAACCGTGAGATTTACCTTTATATTAAAAGCAGCAGCAGCAGCAGCAGGGCTGCTGCTGCTGCTGCTGGTAAAGGTAAAAAAAATCACTATTGAATTATATAACGATTCATGATGTCTACTAGTTAGCAGTACATCATATTTCCGAATATGTACTCACCGGGTGTACACATATTGGCACTTATATGAAGCATTCATAGACTTATGACTTTGATTCACGGTCGCACCAATTTCCGTTTGAACTAAAGTGATAACAATGACGTAACAACAGTACCATAAAATTCTACATTGATTCAACTGAATTTAGTTGATATCCCACCCTGAAAATGTATGAATAGTAATACGTCCGGTACGTGAAGAGCCGCTGATCTCGCAGCTAAGCTAACGGTTAGCGACGACCGTTAGTAAAAGAGCCAACCTTTCTTTTACCTCCACAGGAAAGTGTGCTACAGCCGGATGTCCTTAGGGAGATAGGCTCACGAAAAGCAGTTTGGAAGTAGCTGTTCTGAGCCAAGAAGGCAGCAGCAACAGCCGAATAGTCTGAGTCTATGTATACTTGAGTGTGGCTGAAAGGGAATCTCTATTAAGGCGGCCTTCCAAGACAAATCCAAGAATATGGCCGTTTTGGACGACAGAAGAGAGACTGCTGCTCGGAGAAGGAACAGCGCCGCGTCGCATCGCATAAGCTGCCGCTGTATTACCCAAAATAGAACTACAAATGAAATATACGACTGGCTCTCAAGAGTTAGAAGGGAGTCCTAGTGGATCTGCTTGACTATCATCGTTAGTCAATGGAAGAAGGCTGACTGCAGTTAAAAGAAACGTCGACTGTTGCTTCCCGTAGCAGTCGCACACATGGCTTCCTTCGTCATGGAACAGAGCTGGAATAGCGTTGCTTTCGATCATTTTGTAATAAAAAAAAACTTTTGTTGTTTCCTTTTGTTTAATAGGTGTTCCAGTATTTGTGCTCCCTGTTTGACTTATCTGTATATATATTTAATGTTACCCTTTAGCTAACTACACTCTATCTACACGAGCACCGTTCAGATTAACTGTGTGCAGAAAATACAGACACATCTGATTTTGCAATTATATAGTCATTTGCTTGACAGTAATTATTTTTTATTTATTTCCCATTATTAACATCACCGTCGTCTTCATTGAGCATTTCTTGTCAAGTCATTTCCAAAAATGACATATATTATCTTAGTACTATGTGTT